GAGTAGGCAACCATTCTTGATCAAAACCGCAGGTGTCCATGCCATAAGAGACAAGATAGACAAGTGGGACCTCATTAAACTGAAAAACTTCTGCAAAGCAAAAGAAACCATCAAGAGGGCAGAAAGACAGCTCACAAAATGGGTAAAAATATTTGCCAACTATCTATCTGTACAAGGCCTAACATCTAGGATCTACAAGAAACTCAAACGTGCTGAAAGGAAAAAAACAAACAGCCCCATTAAAAAGTGGGCAAAAGACCTGAATAGACACTTCTCAAAAGAAAATGTGTGGGCTGCCAACAGACACAACAAAAAGTGCTCAGCCTCACTAATCATCAGAGAAATGAAAGTCAAAACGACATTGAGATAACACCTAACCCCAGTAAGAATAGCCATCATTAATAAAACAAAAGCAACAGATGCTGGTGAGGATGCAGAAAAAAAAGAACAATTCTACACTGCTGGTGGAAATACAAACTAGTTCAACCTCTATGGAAAACAGTGTAGCGAGTTCTAAAAGAACTAGACATTGACCTTCTGTATGACCCAGCAATCTCCCTACTGGAAATATACCCGGAGGGACTCAAAGCAGTCTATAAAAAAGATACCTGCATATGCATGTTTATTTCAGCACTGTTCACAGTAGAAAAAACATGAAATCAAATGCTACCCACCCAAACTGAACTGGATGAACAAAATTTTGTATATATACACAAGGGAACATTACACAGCCATAAAGAAGGACAAACATATGGACTTTGCAGTAACTTGGATGGATTTAGAGTCTATAATACTCAGTGATCTGTCACAGAAACAAAGAACAGAGTACCACATATTCTCACTCATAAGTGGACCCCCTGAACAATTAACCATAATGCTATGAGAAACAGACTGGCAGTAGCAGGATACTGAATTGTACCCTACATCTTTAAAATAAATTATATATATTTAAAAAACAATAAAATTTAATTTATCTATGTGTCTATACCTGTACATTTATCCATTATCCTTCCATTTCACCCATATATATATTTTAGAAGTATATACTAGTAATATATTAATGTGTTATGTATTTATTGAAATATATATTATATATTCATACATGCTTATATTTGTGTTACATATGCTATATTTGTATCTTAAAAAGAGTACTGATCAGTGTGACACCTTTCACACACCATTGTATATATAAATATACATGTGTGTTTTATATATATATATTTACCACACACATGTATATATACTATATAGTGAGACTAAATATGTAGTCTTTTTTAGTTTGGCAGTTTCTTTTCTTTTCTTTTCTTTTTCTGAGTTGGAGTCTCACTCTGTCGCTCATAGCCACCGCAGCCTTTTCATGCTGGACTCAGTTGATCCTTCCACTTCAGCCTTCCAAGTAGCTGGAACTACAGGCACGTGCCACCATACCCAGCTAATTTTTTTTTATTTATTATGCAAACAAGGTCTCTCCAAGTTGCCTAGGCTGGTCTCAAACCCTTGGACTCAGGCATTCCTCTTGCCTCAGCCTCCCAGAGTGCTGGGATTATCAACTTGAGCCATCACGCCTGACTGTTTTTTCTTTTAAAGCATTCACATTTGCATGGCATGGACATGAAATATACATGACATCCTTAATATGCCAGTGATGCTCTTGATTATCCTGTTGTACTTACTATTGCATAACTTCACAGCAACTGGTTGTTACTTCACTCTAACCTCTTTGGATTCTACTTTGCCCTTAAGCTGTTTTGTTATCTCCACTTTAGTGCCACACCCAGTAGCCCATGGCCCCACCCTGTGGGGAATTTGTTAGATGGGTACAGTTGCAAAGTGCTTGAAAGTGATGTTCTATTATTTCAGATCCTGATCAGAGAGGTTTGTAACACTCAATGGCTCCCATTGACTTTAGTGGTCTTTCATGCAGTTAGCTTCCATGGATACCTGTGCTTGGTATTTAGCCAGCTCCAGAAAAACTGAAGTACAATTGAATATGCTCTCATGTGCCCTATGGCTCTGAGATCATCTGACTGGACACAGCTCTTGCCTGGGACCAATGACTTTTTCAACAGTCATATTTCATTCTCTGCACAGGGCAGACACCTCATCAGACTTGAGCCTTCCATGCTCCATCTGTGGACCTTTTCACCGATTCACAAATGTATCTCCCATTTATCCAGTGAGTTGAGTATCTCTTGTGTGGTCTCCCATGTACCAGCATAGATGTGCATAAAATATGCCATGTGTGGTCTCCCATGTACCAGCATAGATGTGCATAAAATATGCATTGAGTAATTGAACTAGTGAGAAATCTTGCTCACCTAAATTACAAATTTTTTTTAATCTATGCATTCAGTTTAGTTACCACCATCACTAATTTCCTTTTTCCTGTTGGCTCCCTAGTTTTTCCCATTCATTCCAGTGTGGAGAAAGTCTGACAGTATTTGGATAAGCAGGGCACTAAAAGAGCTCACATTCAGTAGAATATTCAGCAATAAGATATCCAAGTCCAATACTCAATCTATTAGCAGAGAAGAGACTGAAAGCTATATCACCCAGTGTTTGAAAGTACAAGTTTTGGAACCCTTCATATATTGGAATCCAGACTTTACAATGTATTAATTTTATGACACTGCAATACTTATTTAAGCTTTCTAGGCCTCAGTTTTCTGATCTCTAAACTTTCAATATTAGTCAATACTGCACATGATTTTTATATGGTGAAAATTAAATGAAACTAGTGAAGAAGTGTTCCAGGAACATAGTAGTGTTCAATAAGTAGTAATTCTATCTACTATTATCCATGTAGGCAATGGAAAAAATTATCTTTTCCTGAAATTGTTCTTGTTCTAATAGGCACACAATTTTTGTTTGGAAAGACATAAGTAAACTCTGATCTGGTTTGGCAAGTGAAAGATAAAATAAATGTCAAATTAAAACAGAATAACCATTGAAAACATTAGATATTAAAGCTTTTCAATGGCCATAATGTTGCAAACACAGAGGTATTATTGTATTAAAGAATTTAGAGGTAGAACAGATCTTATGTAGACAAATAGAGATAAGAAGTACATACCCTATATTAAATAATAATTTTATCAAATTTCAAAAACAGAAAGTTTTTCTAAGCTTAATGGTAATGGAAGAAATGATAAAGAAATATAATAACCAAATTTTAACAAAATTGTGCAAGTTTAAAGTTTTCTAAGTGTTAAAAAATTCAAAAAGAAGAGCAAACCCAAAGTCATGTAAAGACTACAAACATTCATAAAAAATAAATTACAAAGGTCAATATCTTTACTTAACAAATAATAATTATACATTACAAAGAAAAATATTCTGGAAAATAAATTTTTAAAGACCTTTAAAAGCTACTGAAGGAGAAATAAAGTCATTCACATTTTTTCATTTTACCAGTAATATATACATATTTTTTTACTGGTAATGAAAGAAATTGACATCAAAAACATTGTGGAAATGTTATCACTTTATCTGTGTAAAAAAAAATAAGATCATTGTAAATATGATTAAGTACGGTTGTGGGAATGAGTGAAGCCAGCGTCTGTCTACATTTCTAGTGTGTAAGCAAACTGGTAAAACTCATTTAACAAACAATATGTCTCCCAATCCTTAAGCAACAAATTGCTCTGCTTCTGAAAATTTATCTTAAAGCAGTAAGTCTGAATATGGAAGAAGACATGCCCAAGAATTTCTCTGCTCTGTAATTCACAATGGAATTTGGTAGTAAGAACTTGTGTGTTTATCTAAAACTAGAGAGTCCACATCTTCTGAGTTCCTGATTATAGCTCCTTTGTTTTTCTTATAGAAAAGTCACTTCCTGTTTTGGAGGTTTTAATCCATGATCAAAACCCCACTGGCTTAATCTGCTTAAAGACACATCAATTCCATAAGCTAAAGACCCAAAGGAGATCTGAGATCAGAAAGAGAACAGAATTTAAGTATATTTTCCTCCTTTTCATGCTAAGCGTGATGCCAATAGGTCACCATCACCAATGATTTGATTTTGTTTTATTTTATTTTTATTTAAAAGCACAATAAGAGCAACTCATTTTTGAGATTTGTCACTCTTTTACAAGTAGAGGTGGCTCTATACATTGAAAAGTGTGTCTGCACACTTATGTTAACTTTATTTCATAAAATACAGTCTTGGGGGTGGGAGTTATGCATTAGACTGAATTCATTTTTAAAATATATTATTTATTTGCTCAGTGATTATTTAATGGCACACAGCAAAGATTTTTAGCATAAAGCCAATTTTCTCTTTTTTTTTTTTAGTTGGAGACTCACTCTGTCACTCAGGCTGGGGTGCAGTGGCACACTCACAGCCACCCCAATGTCAACCTGCTGGGCTCCAGCGATCCCACAGCCTCAGCCTTCCAAGCAGCCTGCAACAAGTAGCCTACAAGTGCATGATACCTTGCCTAGCTAATTTTTTTTTTATTGTAGAGACGCGGTCTTGCCAAGTTACCCCGGCTGGTTTCGAACCTGTGGGCTCAGGTAATCCACCTGCCTCAGCCTCCCAAAGTACTGGAATTACAGGCTGAACCACTGAGCCTGGCCAGCAGTGAGTCCCTTATATAAGCATGACACATGGCCCAAATATTATCTCATGACAATTTACAGGGTTAAAACACAGATTACAATTATCTCAGATCCTTAGCAGACTTTACAATTTACTTAAGGAAAGCAACAAGCTGCCATCACATTAAATGGTAGTTCTTAGACACAGTTGCATTTTTCTTAAAATTCATGCAGTTAATAACCTTAATCAGTATTATATTTAGTGCCCCTTCAATGTACATCTATCTATGGTACACTTATACAAAAAGGACAGAAAGTTGTTTGTGTGTTTGTTCATTTTTGCCATTTCACTGTCTAGAATATAAGACCAATACAAATGTGGTAACTGAAATAAAATGAATCTTTAGAGCTAGAATTACAATATGTGTATGTTATAAACATACATAACACATAAGACATACCAGTTGAGTCACTGATGCTGCCATCAAACCCCCAGAACTTTCACCCAAGATACAGATTCGGGTGGGATCCACTCCATATTTTTCAAGAATCTTGTCTTGTAGAAAGAACTTGATTGCAGAAACAGCATCTTCATAGGGAATGGGGTATTGGTATTGAGGAGCTAGTCTATATCTTCAAGGGAAGATAAAGCAACAAAGCATCTATAATTAAACTTAGATTGCACATGTCCAAATATTCCTCAGTTTCACCAACAGATTCACTGAATAAAATTGGCCCTTCTTTGAATCTTTGACTTTTGTCACTTAAACCTGGACTTACTAGTAACTTTTGTTTTAAAACCAAAAGGAAATTCTGGTACCAAAGGTTTTGAAATGTTGGCTCTATGAGGAAATGAGAGAGAGGATGTATCTTCATTTTTAAAAAATTATATATAAAAGTTTCAGCAGAAGAGCAATAAGTAGGGGGACAACCTGTATGCATTCATCAAATGTTCAGTGTAGCTCGAGGCTCAAAAACAATTTTTATTAATTGACAATTATAATTGCATACATTTATGGGGTACAAAGTGAGGAGGTTACAACTTATAAATACAGCATAGAATAATTAGCTCAAGCTAGATCATGTACCCATCACTTCAAATACTTTATTTTTTGTCCTAAGAATATTTGAAATTTATTTTATGCAACATTAAAATCTATATTCACCATGCTATGCAATAAAAGAGAAAAAACTTCCTCCTGTCTAACTGAGACTGTGTACCCTTTAACCATCATTTCCCCAATCCCTACCCCCTGGGATCTCTAACCACTTTTTTGTGCTTTTATGATTTCAGTGATTTTAGATTCCACATATAAGTAAGAATCTGCAGTGTTTGTCTCTCTGTGACTAGCTTATTGACTTAGCATGATGTTCTCTAATTTCATTCATTTTGCCACAAATGACAAAATGTCTTTTTTAAGGCTGAATAGTATTCCTTTGTGAATGTATGTCACATTTTCTTTATCAATTTATCTGTTGATGGACACAGGTTGATTTCATATCTTGGCTATTGTGGGTAGTGATACAATAAACATGGAAGGGCAGACATCTCTGACAAACTAATTTTAAATCTTTTGGTTAGATATTCAGAAGTGGAATTGATGGATCATATGGTATTTTTATCTTTAAGTGTTTGATTTTTAAGGAGTTTTTGTTTAGTGTGTTTTTTGTTATTGTTGGTTAATGTTTTGCTTTGTTTTGCATTTGTTTGTTTCTTTGTTTGTTTGTTTGAGATAGTATTTCACTCTTTTTGCCCCAGCTGTAGTACAGTGGTGAGATTTTGGCTCTGCAGTCTTGAACTCCTGGGCTCAAGTGATTCTTCCACCTCAGCCTCCCCAGTAGCAAGAGCTACAGTTACATGCCACAATTCCTATTTAATTTTTTTGAGCTGGAGTCTCACTCTGTTGCCCAGGGTAGAGTGCAGTGGCATGCTCATGGCCACCTCTCATCGACCTGCTGGGCTCCAGCAATTCTTCCACCTCAGCCTTCCAAGTAGCTGGAGGAACTACAGGCATGAGCTACTGCACCCAGCTAATTTTTTTGATTTATTATAGAGATGAGGTCTCGCCAAGTTGCCTATGCTGGTCTCAAACCCACAGGCTTAGGTAATCCACTCGCCTTGGTCTCCCAAAGTGTTGGGATTATAGGCTGAGCCACCAAGTCGGGCCTATTTTGTGTATTTTTTTGTAGAGACAAGGTCTGGTTGTATTGACCAGGCTGGTCTCAAAGTTCAACCTCCAGCCTCGGCATCCCAAAGTACTGGAAATACAGGAGTGAGACACCACATCTGGTCTATTTTTAATTTTTAAAGAATACTCCAAACAGTTTTCCAAAATGACTGTACTAATTTACATTCCCACCAACTATGGACAAAGATTTCCTTTTCTAAACATCCTCACCCACATTAGTCTTTTGCCTTTTTGATAATAGCCATTTTAATCAACATTAGATAACATCACATTGTGGTTTTTTTAATTGGCACTTTCCTAATGACTAACAATGTTAAGCATTTTTCAAGTATCACTTGCCATTTGTATATCTTCTTTTGAGAAAAATCTACTCAGATATCTTTTCATTTTTAATTAAGATTTTTGTTTTCTTGCTCTTAAGTTGTTTAAACCCAAAATATCAATTATAAATGTTTTACATATTAACCCCGAATCAGATGCATGGCTTGTCAAGGTTTCTCTAAGTCCATAGGTTCTCCGCACACTGTTAATTATTTCCTTTGATGTACAGAAGGTTTTTGATTTTGTGTAATCCCATTTGTCTATTTTTGTTTTTGTTGCCTATGCTTTCTGGGACAAAAATTTTCAAACCATGGTTCAGAATACCCAAAGACTTTGAAAGTAGAAAATCTAAAAGCAAATGATCTGTAGTTATTTTATATTAGAAATGTATTTAGATCAAAATTCTACAAGATGATGTTTCAATTCATATCTTGAGCAATGCCTAAAATCTTGATTCAAAATAAAAACTTGAAAATATAAATATGATTAGATGTAAGAAGAAATCTTTCTTAATCATTGTAAATTCATTTGTATGGAAAATTAGAGCATCTTTTAGTGTGCATATATATATACACCCCCACACACATTTTAAACATTTACTTCTAATAATAGCAGCAAACCTGTATTGGACTATCTAATTTTTAATTTCTCTCTGTAATTATAATCTTAATACCCACTGTTAGAATTAGTTAATTATTCATATGTCAATATTAATCACTAAACATGGCCAGATGGTCCTAGCAATTTTGTCATATTGTAATCTATCTCTAAACTATCTGAAATATAGTATTATCTAAACAGATTAACATATCAAAATGTGGTTGTTACTTTCAACATACTTCGGGGTAAATAACAACAAATATCATATCTGATAGGATTCATAAAACAGATATAACCTATTTCGGCAACTTTAAAATGTGTTTAAAATGAGAAAGTGGCATATTAGGCTAAAATTATAGAGTAAATGAAGAACATCCTAGTTAGTATTAAATATCTCTGAAAGCACAAGGGATACTTCTGCTTGCTGTAAAGCAGCAATAATGAGCTGCATTGCAGTGGTTCCACTTGTATGTTTTATTTGATCCCATTAGACCTCACGAGGGATTATACTCTGTTTCAACATCAGGTTAGAAGTCCTAAAGGGTTTTTTTTGGTTTTTTGGGGGTTTTTTTGAGTTGGAGTCTCACTCTGTTGCCCAGTCTGGAGTGCAGTGGCCGCTCCTGGCCACCACAGCCTCGACCTGCCGGGCTCCGGTGATCCTTCCACCTCAGCCTTCCAAGTAGCCGGAATTACAGGCGCGCACCACCACGCCCGGCTGATTTTTTGATTTATTGTAGAGATGAGGTGTCGCTGCCCAGGCGGGTCTCGAACCTGCGGGCTCAGGCAATCCATTCACCTCAGCCGCCCAAAGGTGCGGGATTACAGGATGAGCCACCGAGCCCAGCTTACAGTATTTTTCTACATTGTGGAATTGGTAGGAGAAATGGAAACATTCTTCTTCCTGAGGATGATGATTTCAGAAATACAGAGGACACCAGAACAAGCCAGAAAGTACTAGACATTTATTAGTATTTCTGGTATATTGCTGGAAATTTTGACAAAAATTGTGGGATACTAGAGCTCTCATTTAGAGAATGACTTGAAATTTTCAGATGGTCCCAACATTTGTCACCTGATGTTCTTTCCACCAAAAACTTCTCTGAAACGTAGCTTTATATTACCACCTCAAACAAAACCAGTATCTCAATATGTAAGGCTTAACAAAAATCCCTCTTTCTAAGTTTTCTTTTTTTCTTTCTTTTTTATTCTTATTTTTTTGAGTTGTAGTCTTACTCTGTCACCCAGGCTGAAGTGCAGTGGTATGCTTACTGCCACCATATCCTCAACCTGCTGGGCTCAGGCGATCCTTCCACCTCAGCCTTCCAAGTAGCTGGGACTACAGGCATGTGCCATCACGCCCGGTAATTTTTTTTTTTAATTGAGGAGATGAGGTCTTGCCACATTGCCCAGTCTGGTCTCAAACCCGTGGGCTCAGGCAATCCTCTCACCTCAGCCTTCCAAAGTGTTGGTATCATAGGTGTGAGCCACCACACCCAGCCTTTCTAAGTTTTCTACTTGATGATTAAAACAGTTTACTCTAGGACCTAGTTTTATTTCCCTACAGATGATCCCAGTGTATTGCCAATGATGCTTATCCTGCAGAGCCTCTCAGAGGTGTCTACAAATGCAGAGATTAAACGGAAATTGAGTTTGGAAATCAAACTTATACTGCAAGGGCAAGAATCATAATTTTTTTTAAAAAAATCTTACTCCACTCCCACAACAACAGCATCAAGTTTGTTTGCCATCCATCTATTCAGGAAGTCGTTAGCCGAAGTCTCTGAAATAAAAGAAATAAATATAAAGGTGTACCCTGTAAATAAAGAACAATGGAAAACCATCACCTACACTCATGAAATGAGATAAAAATATGAATTGTGATTAACAGGTGGAATGCCTATAATCCTTACTCTGTTACCATGTGAAAGGATCTCTGTAGAGTAAAAAAGCCTCCCTAATCCTCCATCTACTAAATCCATTCTTAACCAAAGTCAAAAAGAAGACATCTGATTGATAACAATAGGAGAAGAAACTTGGCATGCCCTTTTGATTCATTCATTTTCTATCAAAACACTCCTCGCAGATCCAACTTGTTGCACACTTCAAAGAGGCACCATTTACCAAAGATGGCCCAGATGCATTATACTTTGCTACTTTCTGTGGCAGATTTCATCAAGAGAAGTCTGGTGGCTATGCAGTATTGCTAGAAATTACACTAGGTAAGTGACTCACTCAAGGGTGAACCATTAGCAAGACTTAAAGGTACCTTTTTCAAAGGCCTGTTAGTAATAGACAGCAAACTTTGGCTATCTCCTGATTGAATCCTATATGTTTTGGTATTTGCAGAACGAGGAAAAAGAAGAAAGTACATGTGTCAACTCTCTACAACTAATACATTCGTTACCATGGTTTCCCATAAAACTCTACTTGTTCCTATAAGCCAGAACTCTGAAATCAACCTGAGTAGAAAATGACCAGGATGTAATTTTCATATATTCAGAGGTACAACCATAGATCATTTTTTTTTTAGGAACTGTCCTTCTCAACAAAGAAATATTAATCTAAATAATAGTCACATTGAAAGCATGGAGGGATTACTCGCCAGTGGTGTCTGAACCTCTCTGTGTCTGTATCTGTACTTCTAAAATTGTGATGATAATATCATCCTAAAAATGTATTTACCTAGCAAAATAAAAGTTGACTACCCAGCTGATTGCAGTAACATTTTGCTTGTTTCGAAATTACAGGTCATTGAACCAGATTCTGTTTATAATGAACAACCTGTAGATTCTCTGAGGAAAAAAGTATTATCATTTGCTTCTCTCCTCTTCGAAGTATGATATACTTTGTATTCTGCTGTGTGGAGACTCCATAACATTCACCAACAGTCCAAAAGTAATTGTACGAATGTGTGTATACTATGTGACTTAGCTACTTCACTGCTCATCTTGCAATCATCTCCAAACCTTAGGTGAGAACATAGACTTTGTGGGGGGATCCATTTTATTTATATGGTACTATTTTATATTCTGACTTTACAAATTAAGCATTAGATTCTAAGATTAAACATTATTGTTACATCACAGTCTAAATCTTAAACATGTGATTGCTACATGGTAACTAGAAATTGTATTATTTCTGACACAACACTTAAAGCATCTTGTTCACATCAGTTTTTCTGCATCTGAAGTCAGGGTCTTTCATAATTTCAGAACTGAACTTCAAGTTTACCACCTGAATGTCCCCTTTTTGTTCTATGCTGTCAATATAAGTTTATTTAATAATAAAAATTTGTATCAAACAAAAATCTCATCTAATATTTTTGTGATTTTATCTGCCATGCTGTGTATGAAGAAATATGTATGAAGCATGAGGGATATAGTCTACCATCTCTCTCCTAAAATACATGCACATATTTACAAAAATAAATAATATATCAACCAATGTTCTACTAATTTTATATATACCACACCAATTATTTAATGTAAATATACAAAGTGTGCAATACACACATACACATAGAAATGTACTTACTGCAACTTCCCAGGACAAAGCCACCACCATGAAGGAAAATTACAGCTGGTCTCTGTCTTTTTGACTTTTTTTTTGGCAAGTACAAACGTACTGGAGTGTCCCTAAAGGCAGTGTCAGTCACTGTGATGTTTTCATCTGAAATTGGTTTTGTAAGATCCAGATATACTATTGTGGAAAATAATTTTTCAGCTCTCAAAAGACCGACGTTTTCCAAGAATAAAGACTGTCAAAAAAAAATCCAAAATTAAAACATTAGCCATTTTGATTTTTAGTAACATCTAATGCATATAAAGATGCCTTGAATAAGGAAGAGTGAATAACATAATAATACTGTAGAGATCTTATTGCACATCCTAACATGTGTATTATTATTGCTTCTAGAGAAAAACAAGACACAGTGTTTGAGAATAAGTGTAATGTCACTTAAAGTCATCAATTTACTGCCAGTATATTTTATGTTGGTCTAACTATGTCTTAACTGTAAATGTAAATCTTAAAAAGTACATGAAAAATAGCAGATTTTATAATTTTTTTCTTGTTTTTCTCAAAGCAAACAAAGAGACAAAATGCTACAAATAAGACTGTTTCCTCAGGGAAATACAATTAATCAATAGATGCAAGTCTTGAGATTATCCAGATGTGAAACCAAAGCCTTTTGTTTTTGGTGTATTTTATTTGTTGGGGTTTTTTTTTGAGGGGGGGGTGGCTGTTTATTTTGTTTTGTTTTGAGTCAAGCTGTCACTCGGTCATGCAGGCTAGAGTCACGACCTCCTGGATTCAGAAGATCCCTCTGCCTCAAACTCCCAAGTTGCTGGGACTACACCACGCCTAGTTAATATTTTTCCTTCCTTCCTTCCTTCCTTCCTTCCTTCCTTTCTTTCTTTCTTTCTTTCTTTGTAGAGAATGGATCTCACTATGTTGCTGCCTTGGCTAGTCTTGAACTCCTGGGTTCAAAGACCTCTCACATCTCACTCTCTCAAAGTGCTAGGATTATAGGCATGAATTAACACACATGACCAAAATCAGATTTTAAGGCAACTCTTATAGCCATTTTCTGTAACAGAAAGATGAATTTTCTGGAAATGGATCGAATTTTAGCTATTCTCAAGAAAGAAAGAAATAACAATGAAAATTTTAGAGTTGGAAAAACTATTTATGTGAAAAAATTACACTGGATGGGCTTCCTAAGAAAACAGATGTCAGGAAAGAATCAGTAAACTTAACAATAGAACAAAATCCGTTATGCACTCTGAAAAAATATTGAAAATAATTTAAATAAAATGGAGCATATTTAGAGATCCATGGATAATATCAAAAGGCCTAACATTTTTGTCATTGGAGCCAAAGAAAGAGAGGAGAAATATTGGCACAGAAAAGATTTTTGATAAAATAATAGCTAAAAACTTTCCTAATCTGTTGAGAAATACATATTTACAAATCCAAGAAGCTTGGTAATGCTGAAAAAGATAAGCTCAAATGAACTACATTTGGACAAATTGCAACAAAACCTTTGATACCAAAGATAAAGGGAAAAAAATGAAAGCAGTCAGAGTGTAAAAGACAATATAGAGAGAACAATTCAAAGAACTGCTAAGTTCTCATGAGAAGATATGGATGCCGAACGGGTGAATAGATGCTGGGAAAAAAGGCCTGATGGTGTAGAGTTTGATATTCAATGGAAATATGCTTTAGAAATGCAAATAAAAATAGAAATAGTGATTTGTCACAAGAAGGAACAGTAAATCAATTTTTCCCCAGCAGATCTGTTCTACAAAGAAATGCTGAAGCAAGTTCCTCAGGCTAAAAGAATAAGGAAATCTGGAACTTCAAAAATCAAGGAAGAACAACTGAGTAAATACAACAGACAATATTCTGCTCTAAAATTATTTAAAATATTTATAACTCTGTGAAACAAAATGTGTTAAGATTTCTGTGTAGGATAATATATGTAGACACAATACACATGACAATTACAATATAAAGGGTTGAGGGGGCCGAGACCAGTGGCTCATGCCTATCATCCCAGTACTTTGAGAGGCCAAGGGGAGAAGACTGCTTGAGCTCAGGAATTCCAGAGCACCCTGGGCAATATAGTAAGACCTCATCTATACAAAAAATTTAAAAATTAGCTAGTCATGGTGGTGCACCCCTGTAGTACTACCTACCTGGGAAACTGAGGTAGGAGAATTGCTTGAGCCCAACAGTGTAAGGTTACAGTGAGCTATGATTGTACCATTACCCTACAGCTTGGGTGACACTGTGAGATCCTATCAATAGTAACAATAGTAATAGTAAAAGGTTAAGGGTAACTATACCCATATAGTTGAAAAATATCTATGTCCCATGTAAGGGAGTCACGGTTAAATCCACAGTTATCCATTTCTAACTGTGAAAAGTTAGAAATGCATACTGTAATCTCTAAAAAATAAATTTAAAAACGTGTAAAGAAATATAGCTAACCCGCACCTTTGGGAGGCTGAGGTGAGTGGATTGCCTGAGCCCGCAGGTTCAAGACACACCTGGGAAGCAAGACCTCATCTCTACAATAAATCAAAAAATCAGAGGGGAAGCAAGAAGGCGACGGTATAGGTGAATTGGTGAGATTCTCTGAATGAACCAAGACTACATACTGCTGAATAGACAGACTGTAAAGCAGAGGGAAAAGTGAACAAAGCCAGAAGACCCTCATAAGGAAGAACAGGTCATTGCAGAAGAGAAAAAAAAGCAACCCCACCTTCCCTCAAAAACAGAATTGAAGAAGGGGAGGGAAAGGGAGAGAGGGAGAAAAATCTACAGAAATGAAGAAAAACCAAAAGAAAAGTATGGGTCTCTGC